CGTGCGTGCGTGCGTGCGTGCGTGCGTGCGTGTGTGTGTGTGTGCGTGCGTGTGTGTGTGTGTGTGTGTGTGAGAGAGAGAGGCAGAGAGGCGCAGCACCCTCTGACTGCTGCAGGGGCGTGTCATAGAGAGACTTTTATACCAGAACACAGCCTCTGTGACGAAACCGTGGAGAAGACACGTCACCGTGGAGAGCCGTTAACCAATATGCAAATTAGCCTGCAGTACCACTGCTCTACCCATATGAGCAGCAAAAACACGTTTTTAGACCAAATATTACAGATTTGAACAAATACGCACAAAAACATCAAAATTAGCACAGAAACAGTACTATATAACATTTTAGACACATTCTAGGCAGTTTATCAGCTAAAAATAGTACATTTTGGGGTAAGTTACTCTTTAATATTCTGCCGCCACCATCCAACCAAGACCATGATACACTTTCACCACCCTCCAATCAAGACCTTAATACACTTCTTCCACCCTCCAACCAAGACCACAATACACTTCTACCACCCTCCAACCAAGACCTTAATACATTTCTACCACCCTCCAACCAAGACCTTAATACACTTCTACCACCCTCCAGCAAAGGCCACAATACACTTCTACCATCCTCCAACCAAACCCATAATATGCTACCACTGCCCTCAAGCCAAGACCATGATACAGTTCCACCACCCTCCAACCAAAGCCTTAATATGATGCCACCAACCTCCAACCAACCAAGACCATGATACACTGCCACCTCGATAATGAATTCCCATAACCTTTCTACAGAAGTTTTACACACTCAGTCCTTTACAATCGGTCATACATAATAGAGAGCTATGCTTAAGACACACTTGAAGACCTCACCAAAACCTTTCAAAGCCTATCTAGTCCTGCTGATGTTGTTTGTTGTTACTTTTTATAGAGGTTGTGACTTTTTTGTAAATGTGACAGATCCGGTTTCTTTGGGACTGTGGTAGAGTACGGCGCTGAGAGGAAGATCAGTCGACACAGCGTGGTGGGGGCTACCGTCAGAGTGGGAGTGCCCCAAGGTGTCTCCCTAAAGATCACGTAGGTTCAGATCCTTGCTCCAGTTTCTTGTTTTCTGTTTCCAGAGGTGTATTTTTCTGTGCCATARCGTTTCTACAAGTCAAAGCGTAATCATGATGTCAGGCAGATAAATAGTTTGATTAGACTGGGAGCTTTTACAAACATATAGTAGTGCATGTAGTGATGCTGTTTGTCTGAGCTATAATAGCCTATATGCCACGGTCATTAATGATGTATTTCCGATAAAATTCTTGCCACGCTCCTCCCTTCCACTCCCTGCTTACTGCCTATGTTTTYAGCGTTAGCTGCTAGTACTCGTACTGATGGTGGTCAAAGGATCCGGTGGCGCCGGTGCATTGCAGCCTCGCTTCTGTCAGTGTGCCCCAGGGCAGCTGTGGCTACAGTGTAGCTTGCCATCATCAGTGTGTGAATGTGAGTGTRAATGGTTGAATGTCTGTTAGTGTTAAGCGCTTTGGGGTCCGGAGGGACTTGAAATGTGCTCTATAAGTTCAGTACCATTTACCATTTATCATTTACTAGTCCGTGAAAAAGTCACAAAAGTTAAAGCATCTGTGATCTACTGGTATAAAACATGWGTTCTGTTGTGTGCTGTTGTCCACTAAGCAGCAGATACGATCGAGTAGTTAGTTTTTATCCATTTTCCTCTTGATGAGGAGKGGACAGCTGTGGATCATAGCATTACATGCAAAACTTATCTTTAAAAGCTCACGCTTGCATTTGTAATCGGCATTTCTAACCTGAGGATATTCAAGAGTCAGCATCAGAAATGAGAAGAYGGAGGTTACAAAMGGGAAATGTACATTTATCCCCTTCACTGCCAAGACGAGAGAGGTAAGACCACCTCCACACGACAGCTAGCAGGAAGYTAACACATCAGCCGGTTAAGGTAGGTGTATGTGCGTGCGCGTTTGTGTTATATGAAGTGTTTTTATGCRACTTTGTCATGAGTTTTATGCAAAATTAAAAACTTGTTAGAGTGTATATYACAGCATAGACTAAAGCCGAATGACGAGCGCGCCCCTCCCACTCCTCCCCCAAGCACCGAGATCAGCAGAACCTCCGCCTGATAATCATTACGTTTTCAGTTCACTAACATCGGGGAAAACGATCCAAACCAAACAAGTAGCCCTTCGATTTAAAGCCCAGACTCTGCTCTTTCCAACAAYATAAGTGTCACAGCTCTACATGAAAAATTCACAGAACAAGCAGYCACAGAATAGCAAAAAAGGCTAAATTCTGGAAYCATAAACACGAAAGTCTTTCCTTTGTTTTTTTGGCTTTAATTCACTTTGGAGTGATTTTTTTTCCACTTGGCTGGACCTGTACGTCTACTGTGTTAATGTTGGTACATGTAATATGCTAATTCTGTACTGTGGAGATCATTGAGAGTCGTTGTCGGGTGAAAAAATCTTTCGCTAACACTGTGTTGACCGTGAACCAGAAGTGTTGGGAGTGGCATCAAGTGATGGGCCAGATGTCCGTGGCATATAGGCTATTTCCTGTCTATTCTGAAGAATGGGAGACAATTACACTTTTCTGTGTTTTTTTCTAGTGAGTCCTGGAAGTAAACATAAAATAAAACCAATCCTCTGTTTGCAGATTAAACAGAGCCAGTCAGACCTACTTCTTTCCTATTCACCTCACTGACCAACTCCTGCCCAGTGCAGTATTTTATGCCACAGTTGGACCACTGGTTCTCTACCTCACCATCCAGCATCTCGTTATCCGGCCTTACTTGCGGGCCCAGAAGGAAGAGTAAGAAAACCCTCCCTTTGTGTTGTTTGCGTCATACAAACATCGCTGCTCGAACTGTCATATCTTGTGTTATTATAGCCGGTTTTTTATTAGCTCATTTTATTTATCTTTTTTTATTCTTGTTCCATAGAGAGTTGGAGAAGCAGAGGGAGAGCTCAGCCTCTAATATATCCAAGAAGAAACGGGAGGCAGAGGCTGCTGTGAGTTGTTCCACACACGTATTTTTTAGTCGCGGTGCCAGTCAAAAATTAATGTTTGCTTCTAGATGTGTGTGTGTGTGATTGTCAGAAAAACATTCATTTTATCAGTCATCATGGTAAAGGGTTTAGATTGGATCAGATAACATGCAAATTATTAGTAAAAGTTGCTAGTATAATCCATAAAATATAAAATCTTCTTGTCCTCTGTGCGCCTCCTTTATCTCCACAGGTTTTRCTCATGCAGGAGTCTGTGCGCAGGATTATTGAAGCTGAGGAGTCAAGAATGGGTAAGAACAGTAATCCTTAAGAAATGAGTTTATTGTAGAAAACRTTTTGAGGCGAGCTGTAAAAAAGTGTTTAGTTCTCAACTATTCTATCTGGTTTGGGTAAAATTTGCATGATTGTAAATTTCTCACTTAAATACCRTTAACATTGAGATGTGTAACATTTTAGTCATCAGTTTTATTCTTCACAGACACAATGATAGGTGTGGTGTTAGCGTTTTGTCATGGGATTAAAAAATGAACTTAAGTTTGAAGTATTGGTCAAATTAAATGCTTATCAATCCTTTAAAGACTGCATATCCCTTGTACTGATAAAAGACGTAGTTTTGGTCAAACCTTGTAAAAGACATTAGGCATTGGCTCATGTGATATTGTGAAATATTGCATTTTGGTGCTAAGAGTGGGCATTGAGGACTTTCAACTACTACCTCGCCAAATCTTAATATGTGTAAAATTGACTGAATTCTAGGTAATGTTTTGTTTTTTTAAGGTCACTTAGCTGGAGTGACTATCTTGAATTGGGTTGACTCCAGAAGTTAATCAGTTGTAGAGCTACATCCAGTGATTACTTTCTGGGAGTTCCATTAAAATTTGTCCAGTGGTTTGTGAGATATTTTGCTAACAGACGATTTTTAAAAACAGCTCTTGTGTGATCCGTTAGCGCTCAGAGGATGTGTTGAGTATGACACTGCATTTTAGCTTGAAATGTTTCATTAACACTACAAAGAAACGTATACAGATATTGGCAAAAATATTAAAACCTATAGCCTTTGACTGCAGGCAATAATTATCACAATGTCCGAGGTTTCTTACTGCGTGTTGAGTTAACGGTGACATATAACTGGTGCACATGCATAACTCTGTTCAAGGCATAAGAAACTACAGTTTTTCACATAGACAAAATTGATTCAAGTTGTTTGGAACCATTTTTATGTCACCYGAGTTTCCTCCATCTTTTTGTTTTCTTAAATGGAAGATGATCAAAAGCTGCAGTTCAAATAACAACGCTGTACAAAATCATTTGWATCACTAAAATTGCTTAGGTGCTACGTGATGATGAATAAAAACATTTTTACAAGGGTTTTGTGGCTCCTTCAACATCAATATGACTYCATACACTCCAGCCTTCTGCACTGAATTGAAATATTGTCAAATTCAACCTTGAAACAATTCAATCTGCACATGTTTTTTCAGAAAAACACACACAAGCACCACTTCAGACATGCTGTCACTGATCAGTGGCTCCGAGATTAAAGAGAGTCTTTTTGTAAAAATATCTTTGCCACTCAAAAGTTCAGAGACAAAATTCAGGGGACTAAATCAGGCAGAGTGGGACGTGATTTAAAAAAAATGCAAGTTTAAAAAGGTTTAAAACAGAAAACAGCAGAATGTAGTTCATTAGATTTGTATTGACCAAACCTTTTCTTGGTAATAAGCCTTTTTGGTTTGCTTTTGGTAAGCTAACAGCAGATGGTGTTGTTTTCACAGGAGAGGAGTGTAGCTCGATGTATTTTCCTCTGTTGTGGTTTTCTGTGTTTTTGAGTTTCAGTGTCCGTTCAGATGATTTTTCAGGACAAATGTCCACCATTTTGGACTGCAGCTGGTGATGATAGTTATTGTTCTGCTGAGCTGCAGCTACTTCCACAAAACCTAGTGGAAAATGTGCTGCTCTCTCTCCAAGCTCACACAAGTCWGATCTGGACAAGGGCTTTGTTTTCAGCTGCAGTTCATCGTGTGTCAGGCAAGGCAAGAAACTATAATGTTTAGTATTTATTTGGCAGCACGATGGATTAGTGGTTAGCACTGTTGCCTCACAGCAAGAAGGTTTAATGCCCTGTTTGGACCCAGGGTCTTTCTGTATGAAGTTTGCATGTTCTTCTGGCGCTTGTGTGGGTTTTCTCTGGATGCTCTGGTTTCCTGTCTCAGTTCAGAAACAAACATGTTGGGTTGCCTACAGGCCCTGGCCTCCCGTGCAAAAAAATATCTGTGATCTAAATGGGATTTGCCTGGTTTAATAAAAGTAAATGAATACTTTTGTAGAAAAATACAAGGCAGATAAAGTATTTCAGTTTATTTTTTCTTAAATGCAATTTTAAATAAACTACACTGGATTGAAAGTTTTTGTGTCTTCAGTGGAGATCATTCAAAACTTAAATTGCGCTTGCTTTTGCTCTTCATCCTTTATTGATTTTAAAACTCAGGGGTCACGTTGTAACGTTTGTGCCATTTCCTAAATCAGGTCTGATCATCCTCAACGCCTGGTACGGCAAGTTTGTGACCGACAACAGCAGAAAACACGAGAGGGCAAAGGTCATTGATGTGACTGTGCCGCTTCAGTGTCTGGTGAAAGACTCCAAACTCATCCTGACTGAGGCCTCAAAGGTAAGAACCTGAAGGAAAGTCGGTCTGAAACGGGCTTGGGCGGTGGGACGGTGTCGTGGCATAAAGTACTGAAATACTTTGATGGGTTTTTTTTTTTAATTATGATGGTATTTTAACCCTCTGGAGCCTCATCACATGAGCTGTTTAAATCGCTCTTGCCAGAAAAAAACACCTTCTTTGAGACTGTTTCAATTTGTGTCAAACACAGAGACTTCAAACTATACACCAGTTTTTAAATTGTGTTGACAGGCCAAGTAAAACAACTTTATTTTCCCCCAACATGACTGTCCTGTTTAAAGGCTGCAGCAGCAAGCAGAAGGAAACGGTCTCATCGAGTCTCATGGACTCGGCTTAGTTCGCCCTCAGTCTCTTCTTTCTAGGGCTGCAGCTAACGATTATTGTAATAATCAACTAACCTGTCGATTATTTTTTCAATTAATCAAGTTTCCGTCCAAATCATTAAAAAGCTTAATTACATAAATATAAGTAGATATAAATTAATTTAATTCCTGTAAAAATTAGGGATGCAAGTTATCAATTAATGTTAAGTTGTCTGAAGCTGATTCATCTTATAAATTGACTAATGATTAATTGATAAGCAGCCATTTTCTTAAAAACCAGAGTTTTCTATTGAATCAAGAGGATCTTTTCATAAAATGAAGGATTTTTTTAATAATATGCTAAATTCAAAAAAGTAAACGTTTTCACAATTGATTTTGGCAGCCCTATTAAACACTGACTGGGAACAAAAACCAAAAAATGTGGATTTCTCATACATTAATAAACTTGGTTATAGCTATAAATCATAAAACAGAAGTTTAATAGGTTGCTGAATGAGGAAAACAGAAAAAAAAAGAATAAAATATGATTTTTAGATGTAAAACTATTATTAATTTGTTATTATAATTAGAATTTATTAGCATTTAGAATTTATGATTTTTCTCTAATTCTTTACGTTTTGCTTCCTTCTTGTTGGTTTTGTCTGTGGCTAAAACAGTGTTACATGACGCAGTAAGCGGTTCTGAAGCAGCCCCCACCATCCCTCCCCTACTGAGTCAGACCAGGAGTTCTGCTCGGGTCTTTTCTTTCATACTGAACGTTTTTGCTGCTTATCAAATAACTTTGAGCCTCGGTCAGAAAAAAAAAGTTGAATGAAGTTSGGTGGCAATGGAAAAACCGCCCCAACCCTTGTTCTGTGTAAGAATCTATCACAGCTCTCCTTGTCTTGGCTTTGTCCAGTCAGGACTCCCTGGCTTCTACGACCCCTGCGTGGGGGAGGAGAAGAGCCTGAAGGTGCTGTATCAGTTCCGAGGAGTCATGCATCAAGTCCTGTCAGGAGACACAGAACCACTCAGGATACCAAAGCAATGTAAGTCTCTGCAGCAGCAAACTGACACTGACTCAGAGGGTCACCCCAGCAGGTCATTGACGATTTACTTTATGTACTATGGTAGAATATTTTCATTTATTTATGTGTTTTTAAAAGTACACCGCTGTAGTTTTACTTGCAGTCTGACTTTTTTTGTTTGTTTGTTTTCCAGCTCACAGGATCGATGCAGACACATAGAGGCTCCTCTTCTGGCCAAAAAGACTCATCTCTAGATTGTTGGACAGAAAATGGAGAAACCTACATTTTAGATACAACCATGGAAAATAAGTCTTTGTTACACAGAGAAAAAAAAATAATTTAACTGTTTGTCTTTATATTCCTTTAAATACTGAGGATGAAATAAAATCATCACAGACTGGATTCATTAGAACCAGTACACATGGACAACGCCGTGGCCTGCTAATGTGACTAAATGAATGGTTATCATGCTAAATCAGGGTTCTGCTCGTATTGGTACCCATTTAGTTCTTGTTTTTGGTATGGCTTGCAATTTTAGACAGAGTTCTACGTACTGTATTATACAAAACTTGCAGTGCCTATATGATGGAAGACAAAAGCATCTCTGTTTATTTGCCATATAATTAAAAACCTTTCTATAACATTGCTCAGAAAGCCTTTTGCATTAGTTGTGTTTTTGGAATCTTTGTGATTAAATCAAACTAAAGATTTAGTTGTTGAAGTGCTTGAGAAAGACATGTTGCTTTACAACCTTGACTATAAAATGATTTTGGGGGTGGGGGGGTACTGTGTCTTTAACGTTACACAACATAAGAATTGCTTTCAAGATATTTTTTTATTAATGTACAGCAAGTCTCTAGTTGTCTCCACAGGCTTGGTACATCCAAACACAGGAATGTTTTGTCCATTCCTCGTGAACTTCTCCAGCTCCTTTCTTTTGGATGGGTTCTGCTTTTTAGTTTTTAAATCAAACCAGAGGCACTCGGGTGGACTGAGGTTTGACTGGGTCATTCCAGGTCATTGAAGTAGTTGTYCTCAAACTGGTGAGGGTTGCTTCAGTGGAATGTTTAATATCTTTGTCTCTGGACGAATCAACCAGGTTTCCCTAAAGCATGATGCTCCCAYCACCGTGCTTCGCTGAGGAGATGACRGTGTCAGCATGTTGAGGTGGCAGGTTTGCTCCGCGCTTGGTGGTCTCATCTGATGTTATCACCTTCTTCAGTGTGCATTTTGGTAATGTTCAAACTGTCTTTATTCTTTTTATTTTTATTTTTTAATCTGATTTTTTTTTTCTTGGCCATATTTTCTTAAAGCTGGGCTTAATTTAATGGATTTAAGATACATATTTATGTAAACAAACCAATATCCTGATCAGCCCACAAGTTTTTTCTGACCAGCGTGGAGTGTGCCTTCATGTTGTGTCTTACTTGATGGTAGCTCTTACTACTTGGAGTTGTTARTGTTGATTCAAGGGTCCCATCAGAACTGGTGTATGAATACTTTGTTTAATACTTAGGTTGCCACAGGTGAATCATGCATTGCCTGGCCCCCCCCCAAAAAAATGGTCACACTAATATTTTGTTGGACTGCCTTTAGCTCTGATTCGGGCACTCATTTGCTGTGGCATTGTTTGGATAAGCTCTAATGTCACAAGATTTATTTCCATCCAGGGTTGCATTAATTTTTCACTAAGACCTTGCATAGATGATGTTAGAGTCTGACYGCTGCACAAAGCCTTCTCCAGCACATCCCAAAGATTCTCAGTGGACTCTGGAGACAATCCATGTGTGAAAATAATGTCTCGTGCTCCCTGAACCACTCCTGGTATTGTCATGTTGGAGTAAGGTTGTGCCATCAGGGAAGAAACAATCCATTGATGGAATAACCTGGTCATTCAGTATATTCAGGTAATCAGCTGACCTCATTCTTTGAGCACAGACTGTTGCTGAACCTAGACCTGACCACCTGCAGCAAACCTACATTATAGACCTTAGTTACATCCAGGTGGACACTTTGCTTTTGGCCGAGCAGTGTGTTTCTTTAATGATGTGGCTTTTSATGGTCATGRTTGTGCCTCAAGGCAAAAGGAGTAYTTTTTACTTTTGTATATTTTAGAAATATTTAAGTTTGGTATTTGTTTTGCCCCCCCACTTCCCTTCTAATTAATCGGAAGTATTTTGTGTAGGCTAGTGACTTATCAAGTAGAGAATTTCTTTAGATTCCAGGCTTTAAGGGCACTAAACCTAGACCATCCAGGGATTTCAACACTAGAAATACTTCCTGTTAGTTCACCATAAATATTATTTTACTCAGTGAAAAGTGTTGACTTTAATATATTAGTTTTCTCATGAAAACAGAACTAAGTTTGTACAATAATGTGTGAAYGATACATTCAGCAGCTGCTGCTTGACAAAGGGCTGAATTGAAAGCTAATCTTAGCTCAGCAGGAAGACGTGACGGATCAAGGCGACAGCTGCCGTTGGCACCCTGAGTTGTGTTATATTGAATGTTTCACTCCATTTATTTGTGGGGAAGTGTTGCTTTGTGGAGAATTCTAGAGCTTTGGATAATTATTAGCTTGCAAATGTTTCACTGGATTCACAGATTTGTTTTTACACATTATTGATTCAGGTTGAAACAGTAACTTTTCCTTTGAGTCCATGGGCCAGTGGTAAGATTGGTATAAAAAAAACTTTATTTTTATTTTTTTTGGTTGTTTGTTTGCTTCAGTCTCCTCTTTAGGAAGTTTAATTAATTTAGGCTTGAAGGACAAATATTTTAGAGTGGCACTCCAGTTCTAGATGATCTATGATGGGGCTACAACTAAACCTGGCATGTCCATAACTTCATTTGATATAAAGATGGTAGATTTGTTTTTAATTTAAAATCGAATTTATTTTAAATTAGATCATAAATTGTGTTAAAGAAGACGGTATTAATTGACTATCTAGATATTCGGCCCCTGAGCTGTTGGCTTTCAGTAACTGTGGCCCCCCTGACTAATTTAGTTGAGTAGCTCTGCTGGTGCCATGTAAGCAGGTCGGCGGTCGATGGAGAGTCTGTGGTCGATTCCTGACTGCATAATTTAGCTGTTTAATACTGTTGCATTAAAGGATAAAAACTACTTTAATTTCTAAGCTTGGAAAAGTAAATTATTATTATTTAACAAAGAAATGATTGTAGGCTATACAGTGAGGTTCATGTCAATTTTAAGATATCAAAATATTCTACAACGTACAGTCTACATTTCAACAATACTTTTTTTTATAAATTATTTCAGCTGAAAAAAAAAACCTGTAATCCCTCCCTCGCTCCAAAAACTCAGAGCTCACTCCATCAGCACAAAACAATTTAGCGTACGAATGTATGTATGGTATGTCTGTACAGACAAAAAAATATAAAAAAGTGTCTAGTAATTAGGAAAACGTAGAAGATAAATTTAGTGTATGTGTCACTGTGTTTAACACGATGTAGGGTGGCGTATGAATTAGTTTTCCATAACCAGGTTGTTGCTCAATAGTTTGATCCATTCGTTTATCTTTGGTCTTTCTGGGTTCTTCCAGTTCAAAGCAATCATATTTAGCCTGTAAAAAAAACTCCTTTGATTTTATTGGCGGTTGGGCGCAAACAGGGCGGGACCAAAGTATTTTGTGTGGGTTACATCCAGGAGCAGATCTACAGGAGGGTGGGGGGGGGGGGAACTGCCCCCCTGTTGTAGCGCCTTGCCCCCCCCAGCAGCCCCTCTACTTTTATGATTCTAAAATATTTGTAATTACTGTTTTTTTATTCCAAAATCCCATTGCAACCACTAAAATAAATATTTATTTACCAAAAATCTATAATTTTGAATATAATCTGAGGCCCCTGAAAAGCTTAGTTACGGCCCTGCATCAAACACTGCCTGCCGCTCCGCAGGCGGAACATGTGTCACATGAGGCAGTCTGTCTGCTGCAGAGTGAAGTCACTGAGCTGCTAACTTTCTGCAGTTGAAGTAAGTTTCTCTAGCTGATGTTTTAACACACAACAGTAAAGTTAGGTTTGCAGTCAATGAAAAATCTGCTAAAGTGTTACACATCTGTAGAAGTCTAAAGGTGTGTTATGAAATTAGATATTCCAGACTTAATAAATATAGTCTATATACTGTATATATATT